GCCATTTCGTAAAGTAAGCTATCCTGCTCAGATTAAGTACATTCGAAAGAATAGGACAGGTTTATCGGAGTATGGGACCAGTGAGCCGAGCATCTCCTTCGAAACACATCCAACAGTTTTCACTCCTTCATTTTCCAGTGCGACCAATTCACAAACTGCTTTCAGTCAACTTTTCCCTCTAAAATTTAGCATTAATTCACACAAAGGTTCGCTTGTTCAGTTGGAGTCTTCATCTTCGTCCTGGCGCGGGGGGAGGAGGGATGTGCTCTCGGATTGGCCAGTTTCCGATCACCTTCCCTCGCCTGTACTCAAGGGGTGGGATTGGTATGTCCATTAAGCCATCTCGTATTTCCCCACAAGGCGGCCTCAAACCCGGGCCCTAATGGGCATCAGCTCCATGCCGTGGTGTTGACAATGATTCGAGGGAACTGGACGCACTTTGGCCGAATCTTGGCTGGACGAGAGAGCGGCTCGTGTAAACGGGCTGCAAGACGACACCGACCATCGGCCTCGTGGGGCAAAAGACTGTCTTGAGGTGGGAATCTCGCCGATCCGGTATTGCAGGCCGGCACCACCAAGGCTGGGTACACACAGACTGGTCGTAAGGGTGTGTTTGTGTGCGCCTGTGAGAGTGTGTGTGTGTGTGTTTGTGGGTGTGTTGAGAGGGTGTTGGGAGTAGCATGTGTGTTTGCACAAGCCGGTGGTGGGAAAAGCGGGTTGGACGATTAAGACCGGTGAGGGCACTGCAATTCTGCGCTGTCAACGAGGCCGGATGGAGGGCTTGGGCAAATTTCACGTTTGGAGTTCGGTCAGCTCGAGGGTTGTCTGTGGACTGTGTCGGTTGGTGCGAGCTGAAGACATGTTGTGCATAAAGAGGAACCGGGGCTGGAAGACTCCCATTTGTAAAGTTGTGGCTTCATTCGATTCAGCTCGCTTGAAAGGGTGGCCGGAACAGATGAGTGAGTTGGGACCACCGGAAACCAAGGCCTTCTACGCTTGTAAGTCTAATCCAAAGCAATTTGCTCAAATTCGTCAC